GAGATAGGTCGAATAGGTAGTTATTTTTGATAGGTGATTAGTGAAGGTTGGTCGGGATCTATCTGTCTCTTTCCTCTTATAGGAAGTGGCATTTGAGTAGACTAACAAAATAAATCTCTAATGAAAAAGCATTTCAGATTGAGGAAACACAATGAAAATTTCTGAGGAAATGAGAGTGGTGTCATACTGTGTCATACTGTGTTGTATTGTGGTGGCTTGTGGGTTGCTATGATGCTGGACGCTGTGCCACTGGTATTTCACATACCAGTAGGGTCACCCATGGTGGACAGGTTTCAGCACAGCTTCCAGACTAAGATAGACTAGGAAGAAATGCTTGGCAATCTACTTCCAAATGTTAGCCAATGAAAACCCTATAGGTCACAACAGAATACTGTCTGATATAGTGCTGGAAGATGACCCCCCCACCCAGGTTGGAAAGCACTACACAATAGCCACAATAATGGACTGAAACATAACAATAATAATGAAGACGGTGCAATCCCAAGTGTTTAATTCTGTTATACATAAGGTCTCCATAAGTCAGAGTCAACTCAGTGGTAACTAATAACAATAGAGAAAAGGAGAGAGCAAGGATTTTGTTCTTGGAATAGCAAACACACAGACGTTGAGAAAATAAGGAGGACCCAGGAAAGGAGTCCAATAAAAACAATAGCCAGTGAGGTAGGAAGACTCTAATGTGGCATTTCAGAAGAGAGTTTTGAAAGCATAAATGATTAACTCTGTTAAACGCTATTGAAAGGCCAATTGAAATTAGGCGTCTCAACTGACCGTTAGACTTGGCATCTGTCATGGATTGAATTATGTCCCCCAAAAAATGTTTGTATCAATTTGGCTGGGCCATGATTCCCCGTATTATGCAGTTGTCCTCCATTTTGTGATTGTAATTTGATGTTAAAGAGGATTAGGGTGGGATTGTATAATACCCTTACTAAGATCACATCCCTGATCCAATGTAAAGGGAGTTTCCCTGGGGTGTGGCCTGCACAACCTTTTATCTTACAAGAGATAAAAGGTAAGGGAAGTAAGCAGAGAATTGGGGGACTTCATACCACCAAGAAAGTAGTGCTGGGAGCAGAGCATGTCCTTTGGACCTTGGGTCCCTGCACAGAGAAGCTCGTAGTCTAGGGGAACACTGACGAGAAGACCAACAGAGAGAGAAACGCTTCTCTTGGAGCTGATGCCTGGAATTTGTACTTTTAGCCTACTTTCCTGTGAAGAAATACATTTCTCCTCGTTAAAGCCATCCACTTGTGGTATTTCTGTTATAGCAGCACTAGATGAGTAAGACAGCATCCTTAGAGTCTTTGGTGACATTCTAAGTGTGATTCAGTAGAGAAAAAGGGGTTAAAAGCCTGATTAAAGTGGGCCCTAAGGACAATAGTACAGAATGAAGAATATACAGAAAGAAAACTCTGACGAGTTTTGCAATAAATAGAAACAAAAAATCATAGCTATAGTGGTAAGCAAGGTCAGGGGATTTTTCTTTTTTTTTTTTAAGATAGCGTTTATTGAGGCGTATTTGTATAAAAATGATCTAGTGGAGAGGGACAAAAAACTTGATTTAAGACAGAGGGTATAATTTTAAGCACAAAGTGCAACTAATTGTCTAAACTAGTTATTTCTTAAACTTTTGACAACCTCAGTGCATATAATGAAGTAACATATAACTGAATGTGTTCGCAAGAGAAAGGCGTGCACATTTACTGATTGTAATTCCAACCCTTTCATTCTCTTCCAAACAAGCATTTCAGAAAACAAATGCACAAGAGATGCATTGTTATATTAACCTTGATTCTACTATAATTTAAAGGAAAAAAAAAGTTAATAGAAAACTTTACTATTTTCATGAAATTTGTAGTAACATCTTTATCATACTTGTGACACGCTTTATATATGAGCTCAGCTTTAAAGATTCACTCTCGAAGCTCAGTACAAAAAAAAAGGAATTCAACCACCACACAGCATTATATCAATCCAAATAAATCAACAGCCATCCAAAAATGAGGATAAGCACATTTTCTTTGCAGTGATCATTTATTTGTAGGTTTTTTTTTTATCTCATATCTCACATGACTGATATGTTTGACAACAGATGTATAAAATCTGACACTATGGGAACAGATCCTCAATTTTAGCATTTTCTAGGTTTTAAAAATGCGACAGATGCTGAAAAATGTTAAGTGTTCCCTGAGATTAACTGTTAGGTTAGGCACACCCCTTCCCCACTCTTGCCTCACACCACCCTGCACTTCTCAGGGATAACTCTATTGCAACATGGGGCTTTCTTCCTGTGGACCAAGCTCTGAAGCAGGAACATCAATGACACAGGCATAAGCCTTGGTGAAGTTAGTATTTTGAGAAGCACTGTATCAGTAAAAATAAAAATATCTAGCATATACTGTGGAGTCCCTTGGTGGCTCAAATGCTTAAATGTTCGACTACTAGCCAAAAGGCTAGTGCTTTGAACCCACCCAGCGGTACCTCGGGAGACAGGCCTAGTGAGTGACCTGGTTCCAAAAAGTTATAGCCTTGAAAACCCTATGGAGCAGTTCCACTCTGCACATATGGGGTAGCCATGAATCGAAATCGACTCAACAGCAACTACAACAACAATGGCACGTATTACTACTTCCATTATACAAAGAACACAACAACTCTATGAAGTTGGCAATATTATCATTCACATTTACAGACTGAAAAAAACTGAAATTCAGAGAGGTCTTACAGGTAATAAGTGTCAGACCTGAGATTTAAGTCCAGTTGCTTGATTCAAAAGTCTACAGGCTCAACAATTAAACTCTACTACCTCTCTTCTTAACTTAAAGCATTATTCAAAGTTGCAAAGAAAAATGAGTTTGTTAATCCTGACAGAAAAATCAAGGAAGTTTCCAGACGTTATTCATTTTAGATGGGAATGTTAAATAAATTATACAAAGGTATCAACATAAAAGTCTTCGTATGAATAAGCAATATAGAATATGAATATGCAGTATACAAATATGAATGTGTAATAGGGTATATATAAATAAACTTATACATACCTATATAAGATACAATTTTAAAATGTTCTAACATATATATGTAAATTGATACATCATATACATAAATAATATAGTATATAATTATTGTTTTTAATATACATGTAAATCTCATTAACGTGTATACTATTATATATATTTATGAGAAAATAGGTTCCCTTAATAAAAACAAAGTGCACTAGTTATTTTTAATTTGCCAGTTCAGTTTGACTTTCAAGCATATACAAAAACATGCAAAAAAAATAAATCCCTAATTAGGGCCTCTTGGTCTGAGTAAACTGTAGATTTTATATGGTTGAATGAAAGAGGTTATCAAGTAATGCAAACTACATCCCACAGGCCAAATCCAGCTAGCCATCTGTTTCTGTAAATAAAATTTTATTGGAACACAGCCACACTCATTCTTTTATGTATTGTCTGTGGCTGCTTTCTTGCTACAACTGCCAAGTTGAGTAGTTGTAACCAACTCAAATGTGCCATGGTTGACAAATCTGAAAATATTTATCTCCTATCTGACTTGTTACAGAGAAAGTCTAACCACTGTGATATTGATTATGGAGACTTCTTTACCTGATGAAAATTCTTTCACTACAGATGAGAGGGAGGGTTATGGCAGCGTAACAGATATTTAAGAAGATACATCAATCATATTTCTTAAATGATGAAAGTAAGCCATGCAAAGTGGAATTGTGAAGAGGAGGCCTGAAAAATTCAAGTGGTTTTCACAATCTGTATTTTGGCCATGTACTCATTGGCATTACCACTAATCTAAGCAAATAGTATTGAAAATAACCCAAGTCCATATGTAAGTATAAGAAATTACAATCAAATCTCTGCTACAGCTATGAAGTGTTGGCTTTGTCCACCAGAGAAGTTGGGCTCATCAAGTTTCATACCACTTACCAGCTGGCTTTATTAAGATTAATAAAAATTGACAGGGTATATCTAAACGTACTTAAGAAACTAAATGATCCTAAACATTATCAACGTACCAATTATTTTACAGCCTAGTGAATATTTTTCAGTCTGTAAAATAGAATAAATGGCTAAACAATTTAAATGCTAAAAAACATCCTATTCTATACTATTGAAGTCACACTCTAGGTCAGTCATGAATTATTTCCCATAGGAAGGCAGAACCCATAAGGAAAAAAATAAAGCCAATAAAGTATAAATCTAAACTATAAATCACTAAAATTCCTCCAACTGAAAAATGGCATTTGGCGCTCACTCTCTTTTTCAAAATTAGACTCTAAAAAGCTTTAGAAATGCCCTAGAGGCTTCATTTACAACTACCATCTTGGATTCCCTCTGCTTGTGTATTGCAACCTCCCATACAAGCTAAGGTTTGTTTTACACTTCAGTCTGTTTTACATTTCAAAATATATAAGCAGCAGTAGCAAAATTCTTAAAGACAGTGATGAGAGGTTTTCAGACTAAAAATTGGTCTAATAATACATTTTTCATTTGAAATCCCACAAAAAGCTTCAGTCTCAATCCCAGATAATCCAATGTCATGGTGGATAAAGCCATAATTTAAACTTTCAGAATAACTGATTTTATAAAAAATAATTCATTCTAAAAAAGATTATATCATTTTTTATTAGCTACAAAAATATCTAAGTTTCTTTTTTCTTGTAATAATCTCTCAATATCCATCCAGGTTTAATTTTATATGGTTTTCTGGGGATCCACCTGCTAGATTACAAAAAAGAGTGAACAAAGTAAATACAACTCACTCAAATAACAATAGCACATCTGCTTTTCACTCTACAGAACAGCAAGTAGATATTCCATGGTTTACAGCAAAGATCTTTAATACGTTCCATTATCATCTAATATCAGAAGACCTAAATGCCAGAGGTGAAGGAATGTCCTGATTATGATAACCATTCAAAGTTCCTAAACCTTAGGAATGATAATCAATCAACAAGTAATCACTGCACATCTTTGCAACAGGTCCGAGAAGTTTTGAATTGGATAAAGAACACTATCATAATAACCTGGAAAAAGGCAGAAGGAAAAAGATAATGTATTTTGACTATTTCTCTCTTACAGAGCATTTTGCCTTAATTGACTTTCAGAAGCTTAACCCTAATTTACATAACTATCCCTCAGTTCAGTTTCTTGAAATGAAGCTATTTTGAAAAACCTACTGATCTCAATATAAGCTATTTTAGCTCTAAAGTTTATGGGAATGGTCACCTTTCTTTTAAAATTGCCTGATTGGCAGTGCCTCTGTCAGCAATAATCCCCAGTCTAAACTTTAGTGAAATGTTCCTTCTGTCCTCTGAGGCTTTGGATTGCTATTTGGTTATAATTAACTCCAGACTGACCAATAGCCAGTGAAGGAACAATTCACTCCAAGAAAGGATTATTACAACCATTATTTTGTTCTAAGTGCAGCTGCTCTGTTTGGAAATTACTGAAAATACAAATTACTTATCTTGCTATGTTAATTTCAAATAGCCAAAAAGGAAAGAAGGAAGCATAAAAAGATTGCTCCCTTTCTCCGTAGCTGCACAGAAATGTAAGCTACAAGGGAAAAAGAAGAAAAGCTCATAGTTTTGCAAGCTAGTCACCATCCAAAATACAGCAAACTGCAGTTCAGAGGAATTGGCATCAAGCCTTCAAACGTGTTGTAATACAGCAAACTATGTTGCTTCTCCTTTCAAAATATATCCAGAATCACTTACTTCTGAATACCTCTACCACCCTGGTCCAAAACTCCATTATTTCTCAGATTATTGCAAAGGCCTCTCAGCTTCTACCCTTGCCTCCCCTCTTCCCCAAAAGTCTACTTTACATGAGGCAGACAAAGTTATCTCTTAAAATCTTAAGTCACACCAGATCACTCCTCTGCTCAAAATGAAAGTTGGCCTTTCAATGACCAAACAAGGTCCGTTCATCATCAGGAAACAGTTAACCTTCCAGACCCTAATCTCAGTCTCACATAGTCTGCCCCAGGCACACTTGTCTTCTCGCTTTTTCTTCAACAAGTCAGAAACCCTCCTACTTCAGGGTTTTCTCATTTCTTTTCAGGTTTTCAGCATTTCAGCCAGGCACTTCCTTACCATTATTGTTGTTAGGTGCCATCAAGTCGATTTTCAACTCGTAGCGACCCCATGCGACAGAGTAGAACTGCCCCATAGAGTTTTCTTGGCTGTAATCTTTATGGAAGCGGATCTCTAGGTCTTTCTCCAGCAGAGTGGGTGGGTGGGTTCAAACCCACCAACCTTTCAGGTAGCAGTCAAACACTTAAGGGTTGCGCCACCAGGGCTCCTTCACTGACAATACACCCTGATTAAAACTACAACCCAATCCACCAACATTTCTATTTTATTTTTTTAGCTTAACTAGTAATGAATGTCTGCCTTGAGCATTATGTTCTTTTAAGATCTACATTTATGGGATCAAATTGACAACAGAAACTTGAAAGATTAAACAGGAACCTTAAGAGGCAATGAATTTATGTTAATGAGGGAGGAACAACTCAGAAAAGGGGCTTGAGAAAGGCTACACAACTCAGAGAATGTAATCAATAGTGCTGAATTATACATGTGAAGAAACAGCTGAATTGGTGTATGTTTTGCTGTGTACATTCTCAACAAAAAAAATTTTAATTATTAAAAAAATAAAATCATAGTTTATTTGATTTACCCAGTGAGCAAAAGTTTGCCTTCTCTCCTCGTTGTCATGCTTGAGCCCATTGTTGCAACCACTGTGTCAATCCATCATGTCGAGGGTCCTCCTCTTTTTCGATGATGCTCTGCTTTACCAAGCATGATGTCCTTCTCCAGGGACTGATCCTTCCTGATAACACGCCCAAAGTTTGTGAGACGTAGTCTCGCCATCCTTGTTTCTAAGGAGCATTCTGTTTGTACTTCTTCCAAGACAGATTTCTTCGTTCTTCTGGCAGTCCATGGTATATTCAATACTCTTTGCCAACACCACAATTCAAAGGCGTCAATTCTTGTTCAGTCTTGCTTAATCATTGCCCAGCTTACGCATGCATACGAGGAGATTGAAAACACCATGACTTTGATCAGGTGCACATTAGTCCCCAAGGTGACATCTTTGCTTTTCAACACTTTAAAGAGGTCTTTTGCAGCAGATTTGCCCAATAAAATGCATCTTTTGATTTCCTGACTGCTGCTTCCATGGATGTTGATTGTGGATCCAAGTAAAATGAAATCCTTGACAACTCAATATTTTCTCCATTTATCATGATGTTGCTTACTGGTCCAGTTGTGAGGATTTTTGTTTTCTTTATGTTGAGGTGTAATCCATACTGAAGGCTGTGGTCTTTGATCTTCACCAGTAACTGCTTCAGGTCCTCTTCACTTTCAGCAAGCAAGGTTGTGTCATCTGCATATTGCAGGTTGTTAATGAGTCTTCCTCCAATCCTGATGCCCCCTTCTTCTTCATATAGTCCAGCTTCTCGGATTATTTGCTCAGCATACAGATTGAATAGGTATGGCGAAAGGATGCAACCCTGACGCACACCTTTCCTAGCACTAAACCATGCAGTATCCCCTGGTTCTGTTTGAATGACTGCCTCTTGTTCCATGTACAGATTCCTCATGAGCACAATTAAGTGTTCCGGAATTGCCATTCTCTGCGATGTTATCTACAATTTGTTATGATCCACACAGTTAAATCCCTTAGAAAGTCAATACAACACAGGTAAACATCTTTCTGGTATTCTCTGCTTTCAGCCAGGATCCATCTGACATCAGCAATGATATCCCCGGTTCTAAATCCAGCTTGAATTTCTGGCAGTTCCCTGTTATATACTGCTACAGTATATCAACTTTTGAATGATCTTCAGCAAAATTTTGTTTGCATGTGATATTAATGATATTGTTCAATAATCTTCGCATTCAGTTGGATTACCTTTCTTGGGAATAGGCATAAATATGGATCTCTTCTAGTCAATTGGCCAGGTAGCTGTCTTCCAAATTTCTTGGCATAGATGGGTGAGCACTTTCAGCACTGCATTCGTTTGTTGAAACATCTCAATTGGTATTCCATCAGTTCCCAGAGCCTTGTTTTTTGCCAGTGACTTCAGTGCAGCTTGGACTTCTTCCTTCAGTACCAGCGGTTCCTGACCATATGTTATCTCCTGAAATTGTTGAACATCGACCAATTCTTTCTGGTATAGTGCCTCTGTGTATCCCTTCCATCTTCTTTTAATGCTTCCTGCGTCATTTAATATTTTCCCCATAGAAACCTTCAGTACTGCAACTTGAGGCTTTTTTGTTTTTTTTCCATCAGTTCTTTCAGCTTGAGAAACGCAAAGTGTGTTCTTCCCTTTTGGTTTTCTATCTCCAGGTCTTTACATGTGTCATCATAATATTTTACTTTGTCTTCTTGAGCTGCCCTTTGAAGTCTTCTGTTCAGCTCTTTTACTTCACAAGACTTAAGCAATTATTAAATTAATAATGTTGGAAACGGTTATTTTCTAACGTAACAGCTAAGCTGTAAGAACCAAATACTTCTGTTGGAATATGTAAAACAAATGCTTTGGAGTCCTCCTTATAAATATGCCCTGATTAAGTTAAGCACTTTCAAAAAGTGCATTTATTTTCAAGATGAAAAGCTATCTTTCACAAGACCCAGACTGAATCAGTGAAAATATGCTTGGGCATATATCCAAAGTTGTGAAAGTCTGAAACTCTTAAAACTAAAGAATGAGGGAAGAGGGTGGTAATCAAATTGAACATGAAACAGTATTGGCAAGCTAGCAAAATAACAAAAAAATTTCTTTCCAACTAGGTTTTAGGTTTCTAGTGGAAGAGACCATTTATGATCATTACTGAGAACAGTGTACATGGTAACTACTCAATAAATGCTTGTTGAATTAGTTAATTCAATTCTATAGTTGATTTGTGCTGCATTAAATTCTCCTCTCAGTGTACTTCTGGTTTCTTAGTTTACAGCAGTAATGATCTCACGCATCATTCCCACTAAAATGCATTGCCTTCATTGTTTTCTTTTATCTTTACTGTTCTTTTTTTTTTTTTTGAATTAGTGGTAAAATATCATAAACATTGAGTACCATACATGTTTTGTTTCTTAGTGTAGTCTTGGAAATGTATAGCATGTAATAGCTACAAAATGTCTTAACAAGAACAGCTGAATGGCCATTTTATAGAGTAATTAATGAAGGGAAAAATCCCTTGTTAAATTGTGTTACAATAACTGTTAAATATTGAAGCGACTGTACCCATTTTAATAGGATTTACTGTTGTTTTATCATAATGGAGTGGGGGTTAGAAACCCATAAAAATATTTCCTATTGTAAATAATAACTGCTTTTTTTAGTTCATGAGAAAAATCACCCTACGAAGGATTTTGCAGAAATAAATTAAACCTTCATAAGACAGGAAGAGACTATATTTATCTGATTAAAAAGAGAGGGAAATGACAGTCATTTGAACAAACTATTTCCCTATGATACTTTCCCTAGGAAGGCACTAATAATGTTAACCCACAGAGAGATCCTTAAGTTAGTTTCCCCTAAGAAACCACAAGACTAAATAGCTCCAGTGTAAGTTCAAATACTTTGAGGAGTTCTGGTTGAAAGAAAGCATTTTGGGGATGAATTCACATTACACAGAATTAGATTAGACTATATTAAGAGCCCCCAGAAATTTTTATTTTTAAAAGCAATATTGCTTGAGGTCCTCAACAAAACATATACATAGTATTCAATATTTATGCAATCTAATATCTAAGCAAAAGCAAAAAAAGAAAAAAAAGGCATACTAAGGGAAAAAAAACACATTGAGAAAATCTCAAATAACCCAACAATGAGATGCATGATCAAGATAGTAATACAGGGTAGTATTATATAATTATTATCTCAAATTAAAAACAACAAATACAGCCACTAATTCAAGGGGAAAAGTATATAATCAAAGAAGGTAAATGTTTAACAGTCAATACGATATCTCATGGGAAAAAATTATCCAAAAGCTTTCCTACCTGCAAGTAGCAG